CTTTATGCAGTGATGAGTCCACCAATTTCTTTTCTCTTTATTCCGTTTCAGCGGTCCAAGCGCTTGATCAAAGATCAAAATTAGCGAGTAAATCGCTTACTAACATCCTTAACGATGAAGGATTTACTTGGGATCAGTTTTCAGTGCCTTTGCGGTTGAAATATTAGACTTTGGTCAGATACAACTTTGGTATGTTACTCCAACGAATTATCAGAGTTCAGGGTTAAGATGAACACACGGCAGAAGTGGACAAACAGTGGCAAGAGACAGGCATCGAACTCCAGAGGAGTCTGGTTCAAATTCAAATCCGAAAGAGGCGTCCTTTACCCAATGAATTCAACCGACGTTGCTTCGTTCAATCAGTCCGGAATGGCAGCGAAACGCTTGTGAACAACATTGACAGTGTGCTGTTCTGGTGTGATTACAGTATTAAGGGCGAGAGGTGCCACAGTGCTGTTCTGATGCGAGTGCCTCCTTGAGTTACGATTGCCTTGACCCACCTGACAGCTGACCATCCATTACTGATTATCAGCACAAGGTTAAACCCAAAACCACGATCTGCATGATCTCACAATATGTTTCAAATGCACGAGTAGTAACAGAAAAATAAGACCAATGAGAATGGAAGAACAAAAAGGATAACTTCTAGTCGATAGTCGACGAAGTTGAAATATATAATAACCTTCCTTACTTATAGAGCTGCTTGATATTAATATACTGAACAGATGAAGTCTGACTTTGAACGAATTAGCAAGAAAGGGCGATACCTCGACCTCCGGCGGATATCAGTAACCTCAGTATTGCCGCCAAAGTTAATAATCTGATCAGTAGTTATCTCACTGTAATAAGCCGGTCAATATAATTCCCTCCGTCGCTAAAGGTTGTACGCCCCTGCGAACTCTTTCGCTCGCTAGGTGACCCTGCTACGCGACGCCTATGCGACGAATGGTGCAAAGCCACATATCCGAACGTCTAACACCAATAAATCTGGCCTCCGATCACATCAGCAAGGAGAAGAGCTGTATCGCCTGCTGAAATGGAGACGGCAATTTGGACTATGTCATCCATACAGCTGATCGGCTCCTTGATCTCACAAACTCACATCAACGACGAGGGAGAAGATCACCTGAAAACGGATGGCACTGGTCTTCACTGGTAAGAGAACCAAGATTTCAGACGCCAGTCGAGAGTGACAGTGTTGCTGTCGCCCAGAGCGGTACAAGCCTTGATCTCCGTCGAGTACACGACCGATTGGGTGCTTGTTTGCAGTCTTGTAACAAATCATGTGAAGGATAACGTCGTGGTGGAGCACGCCCACACCAACGTCGTGGATGATCAAAGGAAGGACGAGTTCACGAGTGTTTACACTAAGTTCTCGATTCTCTTCCACACCATCGATTATGAAATGAACGTCTGGAGAGGGGGGACAGTTCCAACCAACATCACGTGATGGACCAACATGGCTCCGGGACAGTAAATGACAACGTTTGTCGGCTATTAGAACTTTGTTCCACGCACGGCCTCGTTGTCAATGGTACGCTGTTGACCGTCTTATCCATCAGTTGATGTAAGCAGCGCCAGGTGACCATTTCAGGAGGCAGCTGGACCACATACTGGTCAGCAGGAAGTGACGAAGCGCCCTTCACGACACCCGGACAAGAAGCGGAGCTGACACTAAAAGTGGGAGTCGTTCTGAATGGGCCACCTACCACGGGAGCACGCTCCTGCCTGTGATGGAAAACGTACTCGTGCGAATCCTGCTCTGAAGACCGAAGAACACAGTTGAAGATTCCCTTCGATCAAATAAAAGAGGTTTTCAAACTGGAATCCCATGTACGGATAACATTGCCATACTAAAGAAGATAATCGAACAGGGAAGGAACTTCCAACTGCCCTTGCGTGTAGACCAATTCCACCTCTGAGCAGCTTTCGACTTGGCAACCGTCAGTCCTTGTGGCGCATACTGAAAATCATCGGTCTGCTGAAACAACTGTGCAAAGGCACTAAAAGCGTCATCAGAGCACAGGAGTCGTTTCTGAACTGGTTTAATATCAACAATGGAGTGTGCCAAGCAGAGGTGCTTTCTCCTCTATTATTCAACGTAGTGATGGGTAATATGATGCGGAGGAGCATCGTTCCCAATAACGGTGAGCGATTTATTATCAGACTCGGCCGAAGGCACCAAGCTGTACTCCTAAAAGGTCTCAAATACGCTGACGACATTGTACCGATGAGCGACTACACCAATGGCTTAATGACTAACTCGAGAAGTTTACAACGTATCCTCGATGATAGGCTTAGAATTTAACCCCACTAAAACGAAGACCTTGCGCACACCCGACTCGACTAATGACCCAAAGACTCAAAGGAGTGAAACGACCATCCAGGAAGTCGAAAAGTTTAAGTATCTCGGCTCTTACTAGCAAGAAATGGAAACTGCGATATGAAAGTAAAGCCTTAAGACTGTATGCTCTGAACTTTCAGCGACTTTTTAAAGTGTGGCAAGAGCGATCTATAGCCACAAAATCACCATACTGAAAAAAGCCATCCTCTCAGTCTTGGTGTACAGCCTTGAAACATCAACTCTTTTAAAGCGCTATGAGAAGATGTTGGACCCTTTTCTGTAGCGCTGCCTGCGAAACACTCTAAAGTGCGAAGTTTTCATCAAATGAAGAACGAAAAGCTCTTGGAAATGACCGGTCTCAGAATACTGTCTGAAGAAATCAGGGACTGGGGCGGTCGCGGTTTGACAGAACCATCCGGAGATTTGGACAGAAACTTATCCAAATCCATTGTTCTCTATGAAACACAGAATGACCGCAGCCGCGTCAGAGGTTAACATTGCATCCGAAAGCAAATACTAGAGGAGGACTTAGTTGCGACGAGGAGCATGACCTCTACCGCAGCAACCAAAATTGCTTAAATCATTCTGAGAAGCCAAAGTGTCAGATATCACTAATTTGGGTACTCTGTTTTTGACCCTGATACCTCAGATGGTGATGGCGACAACAACAATTGCTAATGGAATAGCAACCTGCTGATGGACTCATGTTGACCTACAAGCTGATGGATATGCTCGAAGCGGCGTGCTGTTTGAGGCAAAGCTGTTGACAGACAGCTGTTATCCAGTGCACACGAAGTTCATGAAAGCAGCTTCTGAGCATCCGGGAATTCGGGGTGGATCTACGCGTCTCAGCCTTACAGACCTGTCGTTTGTAGAGTTTTTCGGCAGCCGAATGAAAAGGTACAACTCACTGTGATTAGTCTATTCATGAGGCACGGAGCGCGCAAATACATCTGCTTTATTCTGTCAGTTTTCATCTTTGCAAACTGTGCTGAGGACAACTGGCTTCGATAAAGAAAATAAACCTCGATGATTGACCGTCAATAAACAGCAACAGATACGTCTTCTGATTCAATGGTTAGCAGGAAGAAAGAGATGAAAGGAATTCGTTACTTAGAATAGATCGTTCCATTATGATAATCGATGCTAATTCGATCGAACCGTTAGATCTGCTTTAGACAAAGAACCTCTCTTGTCTATCATACTGCCAACTATAGAAAAGCAGATGAATTATGTGCTTCCTGTCATCCACAGCACAGTATAATTATGATTTTAAGAAATCATAAATGAGTCGTGGACCATCACTGAAAAACTTCGAACCCGGGTACAAGCTGCTGAAATGGGCTTTCTGAGACGCGTCTCGACATGGTCCGGAATAGTGACATCCGGAAGAGCCTTGGTGTACAGCCTTTGCTTCTCCAGA